GCAGCAAAACAGACCACTGTTGAATACAATAAAAGTTTATAGTAGAATATTGTTTTTTATATTAACAAATTTGTATAATGTGAAATTATGAACATTGTTCATATTAAAAAGTCCGCATCTACAATGTACGTTGCGCATTTTCACACGCTTTTTGACATGTCATGTCATGTCATGACATGATTTCTCATTGTCAGAGGTTGGCAAGTATGACGCTGTGGCACTGCTTTGTACTAGACCAACACGCTGAGCTGGATTTTTTACGTGCTAGCTCACAAGGAAGACATGTCACCTTACCCGGACACATTCTTCTGACTCCCAGCCGACCAGTCTTTGCTCTTACTCCTTAATGCTGCTTGCTTGGCAGAGAAGCAGCAAATACCAATTTAAAAGTCTTTGGTTTGACCCGGCCGGGGTTCGAATCAACTACCTCCCGTACTCAAGGCGAACACGCTACCGTGAGACCACCAAGGTGGTTTCCAGGGTTTGAATCCTGGCTGGTACAGTAATGGATTTTGGAAGGCAAATCAGCTCTCCGGTTACAATGTTTTGTGCTGAAATTTTACATTCCATTTAAGATATAATACAACAAATGGGTACATGATCATTAGGGAGAGGTGTGCGCATGCGCAAGAAGATGGTTGCTTTTTTGTGAAGCTCCAAACATAGAGACTTTTATTTCTGTTGAATTCTCCCAGTTATCCGCATTATCTAAAAGCATACACAGCCATGAGTGACCTTACATACACAAACACGTTTTAAAACAATTTTTAAGTGATGATATAGACTTTTGATTAAGTTGTGGCCTTATTACTAATCACCACATGGTAGCTCAGCATCATTGCCATCAAACATGGCACCCAAAGTAACAAAAGACTTTTGTAACAACTGTAGCAAGGATGTTGTGTCAAATGACAGAGCTCTGTCGTGTTCAATATGTGACAAATGGTTTCACATTAAGTGTGAAAGAGTTCCAGTAGCAGATTATGATTTTTTACAAAAATCTGACGGCAGCATTCAATGGGTATGCAAGGGTTGTAAAGGGGCATCTTAAAAAATTTGTAAAATGTTAACTTTAATGCACACAAGGCAAGATAAGATAGAAACAGAAGTTGTTGGTCTCGCTAAGAGTCTCAAACATTGTAATGAAAGAATCAATTCTGTGGATAAAAATATATCCGAGCTAAATGAAAATTTACCTATGATAGTATCAAAACAAATAAGTCAGATTATTGATGATAAGTCAGAAGAAGAGAAAAGAGAAGCCAATATAATTATATTTGGTATACCTGAAAGTGAGGAGGGGGATTCGAGAATTAAAGATACTGAATTTATTCAGGGGCTTTGTAGTGATTCATTAGGGATTGATAACATTGCTATTGATGAGATTACACGGTTGGGTGCAAAGCCAAAGAAAGGCTCTGGGAAATTCAGACTTACTAGGTTAATTGTGAAAGATAATACATCTCGGAATAACCTCTTCCGCAACGCTTATAAGTTGAAAGACACCAAGATAGGTGCACACAAGAAAATAGGTATAGGCAGAGACCTCACAAAAAAAACAGAGAGAGAGCAATAATGCTTTACGTATTGAATTGGGTCAGATGAAAAAGGATTTTCCCCATAGGAGTTGGGCCATTCGTCGAGAGAAGATAGTTGAATTGCCGAAATCTGGGATTCCTCCATGGGCCCCAGATAAGTAAAGATAACAATCGTTCAGATACTTCAAATGTAAATACGTTAACAGTTAATGTTGATAATTTTGTTCCAGTTAATAGTTATGTTTCAGTTACATTTAATGATAATAGAAATGAGTTGAATATTTCGCAAGATGTTTCTGATCACCAGTCAATTAGTGACGATAAGAAATTTTACCTCGGAGGATAAAAGGAAATCTTTGAGAGTTTTGTTTTCTAATGTAGACACCCTGTCAAATAAGCGTTCAGAGTTTGAGTCATACTTATCAATTGAGAAGCCACATATTATAGGTTTGTGTGAAATATATCCTAAAAACTCTATGGATAAATCTATAGCATCCATGCTAAATCTACCTGATTATGAAAAATTTATACCTGACAAGATGGGTGATAGAGGTGTAGTTATTTATATTCATAAGTCTTTGACAGCTTTTAAAGTTGACATTTTATCTGAATCTGGTTTTAATGAATCAGTGTGGTGTGAAGTTAAGTTGGAAGGAACTGATAAACTTTTATTAGGATGTATTTATAGGAGTCCGTCGTTTGTACCATCAAATAATAAGAAATTGAACGAAAAAAGTTTTTTTATCCAGGCGTAAGCAATGTGTTCGTATAAATAATACAACTTCAGCATGGTCAGATGTTGTGAGTGGTGTACCTCAGGGGAGTGTTCTAGGACCAGTTCTTTTTTTAACATTTATAAATGACCTTCCTGATGTAGTAGAGGGCATAGTGAAAATTTTTGCCGATGATTGTAAAGTATATTCTAAAGTCTCGTCAGATAATGAGCGCTGTAAGTTACAGGAAAATTTGGACAGTTTATGTGAATGGTCAAATACGTGGAAATTGAAATTTAATGCTGCTAAATGTAAAGTATTACATATTAATCCTGACAATGATCAACAATATCGTTATACCATGTTGGATGATACAGAAAATTTTATTGCGTTATCTAAGGTGAATGAAGAAAAGGATCTTGGAGTAACTTTCGAGTCAAATTTAAAGTTTGAAGAGAGTTTTATCTCTTATTCATCATTCCTTTGACTACATGGATCAGGATATGTTTCTTACTCTTTATAAGTCAATTGTTCGTCCACTGTTGGAATATGCTACATGTGTTTGGTCTCCGCACCTTAAAAAAGATATTCGTAAATTGGAATCTGTCCAAAGAAGGGCCACTAAACTCGTAAAGAATATAAATCATTTAAGTTATTTAGATAGATTACGCTCTTTGGGATTGCCAACCTTGGAATATCGTAGGGATAGAAATGATACGATACAAGTATATAAAGCGTTGCATGGTATAGATGATATAAACTGGATGAGCTTATTTACTTTAGCACCATCTAATAATACTAGAGGTCACTCATTAAAACTCTTTAAGAAACAGTGTAAGACGACACATAGACTTAATACTTTTTCAATTAGAGTAGTGGATCAGTGGAATAACCTGTCAGATTTAACAGTGACGGCAAAGACTTTGAATAATTTTAAGTCAGCGTTAGATGGCGAGAATTGGAACCCGTATAAATTTATATGTTCATGTTAATTGTTAAGCTGCGCACACCTAAATAAGTTCTATTTTTATAAGTATAATATATATAAATATATTATTATGCGATTATTATGAGAGGAGAAATTGCATTACGACAATCCAAGATGAGGGGTCAGTAGAAGCCTTTGGCTTATTTTAAGGACCCGAAGATAAAGGTATAAAGGTATAAGGTATAAACAGTGGCGGATCCAGAGGGGGGCGTAGAGGGCGTACGCCCCCCCCCCCCCCCTTTGCTTGCACTTTTTTTTTTTTTTTTTTTTTTTTGTAAAATGATTAATCAGACTAGACTTCATGAACTTTGCCATTTCCCGTGTATTTAATTTTTATGCGACAATTCTTTACTTATAAAGATATTTTTCGCTCGTATTTACTGTAATATATTATTGATTATGTCAAAGTCATGTGATTCTCTACGGTGGAGTTGACCAGTTCGTCGAAAAAAACGTCACTCAGTCAATTTGAAATTCAAATTACAGTAACACATAGCTTAGGCTGAGGATGGCAAGCATGACGCCTTCAAAGCGACAAAGTATTGAGCACGAACGTATTGACTTCTATTTCACAATTCCACCAAACAGAAAGTAATACTCTATTACACTCTCATGAAAAAAAAAGTTCCAAAGCAATATTATTTACCTACGAAAACATGTTTAATCCCACACGCCCCAGCCCATTAATTACATTGCTGAATAGTGATCCCCAGTCAGTAAGCTCTATTTAGATTTAAAGTCTAAGGTACGAACCATTTGATCAGAGAGGCAGTCTGAGATATTTTAGAGAAAAAATTCTGACCCTGATTTTTGCCTTAAACAAAAATTCTGGCCGTATCTGGATTGAAAACAATAATCTTGTCCACTTTTTTGCTATTAGAAAAAAATATTTTCAACAGAATTATTTAGCATTAAATGAACATGACGAATAAAAAACGGGCGTAATTTTTTTTGGGGGGGGTTGCATGTGAATCCCATATCTGACCGGAATGTCTGTTTCGCCGAACTGATATACTGAATACTTTTTTCAAGGCCCGACTGCAACCTGCCATGCTGGGTGTGGCCTATATGTCTCCATGTGTCGACCGTCATTCACAACTTCGTTGTCATTTCCGACTAATTCGTAGCCTTTGGTTGAAGAGGAACCCCTCACTTCCCTTGTTGGGTAAAACATTTCAACCAAACATTTGGATGAAAATTGCTTTTTTGTCTTTCTTCGTGTCGGTCGTATTGTAAATTTCATTGAATAGCCGTATATCTTGTTTACAACAAGAAATCTGTGAGGTTATGCTAACTAACCATACAACAAACGAGAATTTTCCATGTCCATTTTTTACTGACAAATCCCACATCAAATATATTAATTAGTACATAGCTTTGGATCCATCCAATCATTTTAGAATAGACAATTGATGGAGAGAATACGGCACCAAAAATGTCCAACCCTTACACTTTAACTATAAAATGCTTTTTACACTTATTTTATGTTTTTTAGCCAAAAAAAGGTCCAAAACAAATTTTCAATACTACGCCCCCCCCCCCCCCCCCCCCCCTTTCCAAAATCCTGGATCCGCCCCTGATAAAGGTACATGGCATCACCAATATTATATAGCATTAAGCTGTTAGTGTTATGACCCATTTGCCATTGGGAGATAATCCCCAACTTGTACATATTTATCTTCTTTCACATGTGACACCTGTTTCATGTTAAAGAGAATGGAAAGTCCATTACTAGTTTTCCAGTCCAAAACTATACTCTACCAAATAATTAGACTAAAATCTTGTATTATATATGTCTTTGCTATTAAAAGTTGCAGACGCTTTTCTTTACCGGAAACGGAAATCATATGTTGTCATGCGTACTAATATTCAAATCAAACAGGTTCCCGTTCAACCAGATTTACAATATTTAACTAAAAAGATAAGGATTAGATGAGTTTGACCGGTTGTAATAACATATATTGAGACCTTGCAAATATAAAAAAAACAATTATCCATAATGTAACAGTTTTAATATATCTTAGAAAATATATGAATTGTTAAAGTTCAGGCAGATGTCACCGACATAGCAGCTTGGATGCTGACTAATTTGTATGATTGATTTCATATTTCTGTAGAAATTTGATCTCTGAAAAATGTGTATTGCTTTAAAATGATGTCCTTCATGACTAAAAAGAAGCGATTTAAGTTTCAAGTTGATTTCGGTTTACAGGAGTTATCATCAGTACCCTTTGTTAGTGGAATACTGTATGCTAAAGTGCGTTTAATTGACGGAGGAAACTTTTTAACTCAATCTGAGAGGTAATTATGACAACTATTTGAGAACAGTATTTGTAAGATATCCACATTTGACACCAAAGTGTCATGAAATCAACAGATCAGGAATAACCATTAATAGACTATTTCTATGGTCGGGTTGTTGTCTCTTTGACACATTCCCCATTTCCATTCTCAATTTTATTTTCATATTACAGACTTTTGACTCAGGAGTTTATATTTTTTCGACATGTTACCTATTATGCGGTAGGACATCCTGGTACTCGGTCAAGTAAGAGCAACTTAAAGAAGTAAAATCAAGTTTACAATCGGTACAATATGGGATGAAATTAACTGTTACATGTTTTCTCAGCACAACAAAATCATCAGAAAACAGCAAATTTTCTCCCTCAATTCCACCAATTATACGTTTGATTTTACTATTTTTGGTCGCTCTCACCTGATCTTATATGACAGAGTACCAGGATGTCCTAACACAGAGTACAAAATGTACATGTAGGTAACCTGTCGAAATATGATAAAATCCGGAGTCAATAGTCGGTAATATGAAAATAGTCTATCATGTCTATTGGTTGATTATTGTTTATACCTCAATTCAGGTACATGTATAATCCACCATTTGACATTTAATAACATGAAAACCCATAATACAAGGTTAATGAGATACACCAACTGAGGTATAATGCAGTTTTTATCCAAAAGAAAATTTAAGAGATGTTGGAGCATCTTTTTGCATTTACCATACCAAGCTTTGATGTCCACTTAGTCATAGTGATGACATGTAATTGATATTGATACTTTGTGCTGCATTTTGTTAGAGAAACCCCTAAACTAATATGACCCTCCTTTTCCTACTAATTAATTTTAAGTCTTCTTATTTTCAGAAACATATATATGTCTCTGATCAGTTAAATCTTATTTTTGTTCTGTAGTCTAGCTAGATCTCTTCCTGTCCATTTCGACGGACAAATCTTAAAGTTGGAACTGATGCAGACTTTAGGAAACCAGTTATGAATATTCATCAATTAGTTGATTATACCTGAATTGAGGTATAATCCACCAATGACAATAATGGTTATTCCTGACCTGATCAAAGTTCTTTATAATTCAAGTTCCAAACAGATGAAATATTCTTTGATATTATTTCCATTGGAACAATTATTACAGAATTTGTTCCTTACGGAATAAAGGGTATACATGCATGGTATAGAATATTTGTTCCAACATGTCCAATAGGAACAGATATTATGGCATTGTTTATAACAAAGTTTCCAGGGGAACTTATGTTAGGCGGAACAAAGATATGTTGACAAGAGAAGTAGAATCCGTATCTAGTCTAACATCAGCAATATTTCACACAAATACACAGTGTAGTATGAATTGGTTCAAGTCTGTGTTTCAGTAGTGTTCTTTGCATGGTTGCTGTCTGTCATTTTTTGTTTCTCATTTATTGTTTAAAGCTAAAATCTGGTCATTGTATTGTTTAAATTGTTCAAATTCAGTGTTCTCCCCAGGATTTTTGGATAGCACCAGGGTAATCAAGGCAAACCAATAAGATATATGTGTTGAACATAACTTGAATCCCGGCGCGACATATTTCCTCCTTAGGGTTAGTTCCAATAGAGTTAATCCTTCTTTCTTATTACCTTTTATCTATTTTGAGGTTTTCTTTTCTTTTGTACTGTTTTGCCAGTTTATGCAGTAACTTAACTACAAAATAAATGTAAATAGTAAGAAGTTTTACTGAAGGGATGAAGCCTTCAATACACGTGTATGTATGTTACCAGGTCCTTCCATGAACTAGTTACATTTTCATATTCACCATACAGTAGTGAACGAGAATGTATTCTCCTTTCAGTCATGGGATTTGATGGTATTGACCATCTCATAATTATACTTGAAATTTACTATCATTAGATTCAGAATGAAAAAAAGAAATCCACATTGATTTTAAACTTATATACATGTATACAAGGGTGAGGTTAAGTAATTTTGACTACCCAAGAGGTCTCACTCAGTCAGTTTTCAAGATGCAATTTGCAAATTAAGTTTATATACATGTACATTTTGTACATGTACATTTGTAATACTGGTTTGTTTTCATTAGAACTATTGAAGATATTACCTCTCATTTACATCTTATTATTACTGTATGTTAAATTACATTCTATTTCAATAGTTAGTAAATAATTTTTATACTTTATAAATTTAATTTATTAATTTTCTTATGACATGTATGAGCATGATGAGTAAACATATTTTTAGTATGAAAATAACAGAATCTTTCCAAATGTACACAGGCTGTGACTGTCAATAGTAGTCACTTTAGGGTCCAAATAAATTTTGGCTGATATGTAAAATTCATTAAATCAACTGGGCTAAACTAGAAGAAAATCGGCGGTCAAAAACATAAGTTTTATTGTTGTAAAAGATTCAAGGAGACAGGATGTGATTGCTAGCTTGGACAACTTGCTTCATACAGAATAAAAATATGCATAATTGTCGGCACGTGTACAACTGTCGGCATTGTGTCCAAATTAAGATTTACGATTAGATCACTGGTCAGCGTTTGGGTGGTAAGTGAATCCATAAAATTGTTATCAGAAATCATTAATTATCTCCTTATCAATTAAAACACAAAAGAATCCTGTTACAAGTGTTAATTACATCGATGAAATCCAGTCAACAAGGGTAACCTCATAAGGTTGATCGATCACGTGGTGTAAACAATCAACGTACTGGTTAAATTTCATCTGGAATTTTATACAGCACAGAAAAGATTTAACAAGTCGTATAAAATTTTACCGATTTACGATTTTTAACTGAAAATTTTAGCACCGCGGACCAAAATTATATTATTCATGTACATGTAACTTCCTGTACAACATGGGTTTTGCTCATTGTTGAAGGATGTACAGCTCCACATCTCCTTAGTTTACAATGGGATTAGTCATATCATTTTGACATCTTGTACAAAATGTACTGCTTGTTTAAAAATAATACATGTCTTCCAAGATGTCATTTTCATTTTGGATAGGTTGGGGCTGCTCTGCCAACTTGATTATAGTTACATGTATATGTATCTACATTAATATGTACAAATATATATTGTTCTTCAATTGACAGTTGTGGCATGATTGTCAGTTTGCAAAGAATTCTGCTCAAACTTGTGCTAAGGGTAGTCTTAAACTTGCATAGAGGTGATAAATTTTGCTTTGTTTTGAAGCTTCACTGTGACTTTGAGATGAAGAACAGCAATAAAAGCACTGTGACTTTTATTTTTGTGGGTTTTTTTGCTGTGAATGTATCGATTTTGTGTCATGGATGAAAACCCCATGTCCTTTCTTTTCTATTATGGTAACTTGCAGTTTTTTCCCCAATTTAAGTTTTCTCCATTGTTTTAAAGAAAGTCATATACATGTACATGTACAACAATGTACATTATACATAAGTTTTAATAATAAAAGTTCAATCTCCTTAAACTTATTAAGTCATGTCATATTGTTTACATATGATATTATATCATGTTGTTATTCAGGATCTTCACATAGGATATATGGGGCTCAAGTGTGTTAATTATATCCCGGCCCTGAATCGTCAGGCAGAGGGGATATGTTTTATATACTTGTAACTGAATGGCTATTTTTTATACACCCATTTACGAGACGTATTATGGTATACCGTCCGTCTGTCCGTCCGTCGTCAACATGTCGGACATTAACTCAAAAACGCTTTAACCCATTTGCATAAAACTTTGATGAATTGTTTATATCTATTGACGTAAGCTCCCTTTCGTTTTTTATAAATTTTAGATTTTACGTTTCCGAGTTGTGGGGTTTTATTCATTAAAAAAAAAGGGGGATTTTCCAGTTTTCGGACAATAACTCAAGAATGCTTTCACCAACTTGCAAGAAACTTTGGTGAATTGTTTATATCTATTGACATGAGCTCCCTTTCAATTTTTATAAATTTTAGATTTTACGTTTCTGAGTTACAGGGTTTTATTCATAAAAAAAGGGGGATTTTCCAGTTTTCTGACAAAAAATCAAAAATGCTTTCAGCAGTTCTTCTGAAACTTTGGTGAATTATTTATATCTATTGATGTAAGCTCCGTTTTCGAATTTTATAAATTTTTCATTTATCATTTCTGAGTTATGGGGTTTTGTTCATTAAAAAAGGGGGGATTTTCCAGTTTATGGACAATAACTTCAGCAGTTCTTATGAAACTTTGGTGAATTGTTTATATCTATTGATGTAAGCTCCGTTTAGAATTTTATAAATTTTTCATTTATCATTTCTGAGTTATGGGGTTTTATTCATTAAAAAAGGGGGGATTTTCCAGTTTTCGGACAATAACTCAAAAATGCTGTCAGCAATTTTCATGAAACTTTGGTGAATTGTTTATATCTATTGATGTAAGCTCCCTTTACATTTTCATAAATTTCTAATATGACATTGAGAATTAATTAAACTTTATTTGTTTATAGTCTGACAACAGATTTACTAAGTATTGTGCAACAGCACAGTGTATTGCACAACAGCAAGAAATCTTTAATTGAATATAAATTCAATTCATATAACCAATTTCAGGTTCTTTGACTACATTTATTCAGAAACCTATAATATGTCAAATATTTAATTACAATCCAAATTCAGACCTGAATCAAGCTTGAATATTGTGTCCATTTTTGCCCCAACTGTTCAGGGTTGGACCTCTGCGGGCGTATCCAGCTGCGCTCAGCGAAGCAGTTTTTATCATAAAACTGTGGTACAAATATACTTTCTTTTAAGAGAAAATCCCTTATAATTTCATCCAAACCTTCAGGAAATGTATTGCTAATGAATTATTGTCATCCCTTACTCTATTTCTCCGACAGCTTCTCCGTATGCAGTGACCTTAACATTACACCTGACGTTAGAAATTTGGCAATCACACTATGTGTCAACAGGGAAAAAACATTGCAAGCAGCATAAGAAAAATATAACAAACTTGAAAAATAAAGGACACGATGATGAAGGAAGAT